AATGAAAAGATTTGAACAGATGCTATCTTAGAGAAGATACGTCAATGGCAAATAAGCACAGTAAAAGATGTTCAATATTACTAGAGAAATGCAAACTAAAACCGCATTGAATACTATTACACACCTATTAGAATGGGAGTCAACACCTGACAATATCAAAGTGCTACCAAGAATAGGGAACAACTGGAGCATCGCTGGTAGAAAGAAATGCAAATTGGTACAGCTGCACTGGAAAACAATTGGTCAGTTTTTTAAAAATTAAATATAATATTGCCATACAACCCAGCAATCCCACTCTAGGTATTTACCCAAGTGAAATGTAAAGTTATGTTCATTTAAAAATCTGTGTACAAATATTTCTAGTAGTTTTATCTGAAATAATCCAAAACTGGACACCAACCTGATGACCCTCAACTGGGATATGGGTAAAAAAACTGGTGCATCCACGCAATGGGACCCTATTTTGCAAAAAAGAGGAACAAACTACTAAAATGCCCAACACGCATCTCACATTCATTATACTAAGTGAAAGAAGCCACACTCTATCATTGCATTTTTTTAACATCTAGAAAAGGCAAAACTATAGAGGGGGAAAAAAACCAGGTCATTTTTTGCTAGAAACTGAGTGTGGAATGAGGGGATGGCTAACAGAGACATGAGGGAACTTTTGGGAATAATGGAATGTTTCTATATCTTGATTATGGTGGTGGTTACAAATCTGTATGGGTATGTCAAATTCCCAGAACTTCCCACTGAAAAGAATAAATTTTATTCTATGTAAATCAGACCTTAATTTTTTTAATGGAAATACAAGGTGGGGTAAAAGTAGGTTTCAGTTGTTTGTGTGGAAAATAATACAATAATTAATAAATAATAATACAAGAATAAATTCTGTTTTGTATACTCACAAATGTAAACCTACTTTTTCCTTACCCTATAGAAAGGAACAGAAAAACATAATGATGTATTAAGTTATTTTGTGGAAAAAGCCTAACATATACACATTTTTAGAGATTTTGATAAATTCTTCCAAATTTCCCTCAAGGGGTTTCCGGTTAAGATGAAAGCATAGGTAGACACATTTTGTCTCCTCATAAAACCAAAGGAAGGACAATAACAAATTTAAAAACAAAAAACCACTGGAACTGCCAGGAAAATCGAACTGTATAGCAACCTGACAACCAAGGAGCTAGAGAAGAAACATTCATCCAGACCGGTAGGAGGGGTGGAGATGGGCAGCTGGGGTGGAGAGGACTCGAGGCAAGAGAGCAGCTGGTGGTCCCACATTTGCATGTGTATAAACCGGGAGGAACAAAAGGGGAGTGAGACAGACCAGGGTTCCAGTGCGAGAAAAGAAAGCCTCAAAACCTCTGGCTGTAAAATCCTGTGGGGGCTGTGATGGTGGGAAAAACTTCCAGCTTCACAGGAGTGTTCATAGGAGAGATCCACAGGGTCAGAGAAAGTACATTCCCCCCTTACCCCCCTTACCACCCCTCCGCCCTGGATTCAGCACCAGAAGGGCCCAATTCGCCTGTGGGTAACAGGGGAAGTGACTGAAAGTGGGACGAGAGCTGAGCAAATGGCATTGTTCCCTCTAGGACCCCTCCCCCACATACAGCGCCACAATGCAGCAAAGTGGGTTGCCTGCCCTGGTGAATACCTAAGGCTCTGCTCCTTACAACCTAACAGGTGCACCAAGACAAAGAAATATGGCCCAAATGAAAGAACAGATCAAAACTCCAGAAAAAGAACTAAGCAATGAGGCGAGAGCCAACCTATCAGATGCAGAATTCAAAACTCTGGTAATCAGGTTGCTCACAGAAATGATTGAGTATGGACTCAAATTACAGGAAGACATGAAGGCTATACAAAGTAAAATAAAGGAAAATATACAGAGAACCAACATGAAGGGAAGGAAACTGAAACTCAGATCAATGATTTGGAGCAGAAGGAAGAAATAAGCAATGAACCAGAACAGAATAAAGAAACAAGAATTAAAAAACTGAGGAGAGGCTTAGGAACCTCTGAGACAACTTTAAATGTTCCAACATCCGAATCATAGGGGTGCCAGAGGAGAGGAGGAAAAGCAAGAAATTGAAAACTTATTTGAAAAAATAATGAAGGAGAACTTCCCCAAACTGGCCAAAGAAATAGACTTCCAGGAGATCCAGGAAGCCCAGAGAGTCCCAGAGAAGTTGGATCCAAAGAAGCACATACCAAGGCACATCATAATTAAGCAACCGAAGATTAAAGATAAGGAGAAAATCTTAAAAGTAGCAAGCGAAAAGGAGACAGTTACCTACAAAGGAGTTCCCATAAGACTATCAGCTGATTTCCCAAAGGACACCTTACAGACAAGAAGAGGCTAGAAAGAAGTATTCAAAGTCGTGAAAGACAAGGAGCTACATCCAAGATTACTCTATGCAGCAAAGCTATCATTTGGAATGGAAGGGCAGATGAAGTGCTTCCCAGATAAGGTCAAGTTAAAGGAGTTCATCATCACCAAGCCCTTATTATATGAAATGTTAAAGGGACTTATCTAAGAAAAAAAGATCAAAACTATGAACAGTAATGTGACAACAAACTCACAGCTATCAACAACTGAACCTAAACAAACAAACAAAAAAACAAACTAAGCAAACAACTGCAACAGGTACAGAATCACAGAAATGGAGATCGCATGGAGGATTATTAGCAGGGAAGGGGGGAGGAGAGTAGGGGAAAAGGTATAGAGAATAAGAAGCATAAATGGTAGGTATAAAATAGACAGGGGGCGGTTAAGAATAGCATAAGAAATGGAGAAGCCCAAGAACTTATATGTATGACCCATGGACATGAACTAAGCGGGGGATGCTGGTGGGAGAGAGATGCAGGGGTATGGGAGTAAAGGGTAGAAAAAAATTGGGACAACTATAATAGCATAATCAACAAAAACACTTAAAAAAACACACATTTCCCTCAAAGAACACTGAATCCAGTTTATACCACCTCTGTCAGAAGAATGAGAGGGTTTGGGTTCTCATACCCTCATTGACACCTTGCGACAGAGAGGGCACTTTCCACTATACCTCACTCAATGCAGGCACACACCAGGGCTTTAATAGCAGCACTGACTCTAGGTATGTGGAGTCCCTGCGAGAGATAAATGAGATCCCCACTCCTGAAGCCATTTAGGAGGATTGGAAGGACAGAAGATACCACGTGTCTTGGGAACTGAGAAGGCCTCCAAACTCGGGAATCTGAGGACTGGGGCAGCAGCGTTGAAAAAGGGAGTGGGTGAGGAAACCAAGACAGGTCTTCTTGGAGCTGAGAGGTCTGAAGTGAAAACTGGATATCATTCCTCTATCCCCATGCCTAGCACCGCCCATAGCCCATTAGATTGTAAGAAGGGACAATTATATCAGATTGAGGAACGAACAAATGAGTAAGTTAAGAGGCTAAAAGTTTTGGGTCAGCAAAGATAAAACTCCCTTGGTTTGGGACTTGGAGGTTCAAACTCAGCTTAAGACTGTGGCCATGCAAACATGAGGACTTTTTACTCTGATTCCCATCAAAGGAGAAGAAAGTTGGCATAGGTGAGTAGGGGGAGCACATAACGTCAGGGAGCTCCACTAGGTCCCCACACCTCAAAGGAGCCCATGACACAGCTCCTGGCTGTCAGTAGTATATCCTGATTCTACACCCTGGGGACTAAGTGAAGGGTGGGGTCTTGGGCCAAATGCTGGGTCATTTTAGCTGGAGCCCAGCGGCTGTATAGGCGAGATAGGGTTGAGCGAGAGGAAGTCGAGTGGGCATGCCTGTGTGCTGGCTGGGGCCAGAGCTGGGGGAAGAAGGGGCTGGGGGTGTGGTTTCTGGGGAAGAGATGGGGGAGGGGAGGATGTGGTGCTGCTCAGGAAGCCTGCGAGAGGGAGCAGGAGTCTCCTGAGAACTGGTGAGTGAGTAGGCAGGACAGTAGGACAGGTAGTGAGAAGGACAGAGCTAGGGAGATGTGTTAACAGCAAAAAGGAGAGGCAGTTTATTTGTGTGTGTGTTTACGTGGTGTGTGTGAGAGTTTGTGTGTATATGTGTGAGGGTGTGGATGCGTGTGCATGGTCCCCCACCTTTGAAAGCACAGAAGCCGCCCCCCCCACAGAACCCAAACTTTATGCTCTGAGTTTTACAATTTGCATCTTTTGCATCTTTTTTCCCCTTATCATCCTGCCTGTGACAAAAATAAGATTGCATTTCAGCATGGATGGGGTTATTTGTAAGCGTGAGCACGAGTGACAGTTCTGACCAGCCAGGAGTGTGTGTGTGCGCGCGCATGTGTGTGTGTGTGTGTGTGTGTGTGTGTGTGAGAGAGAGAGAGAGAGAGAGAGAGAGAGAGAGAGAGAGAGAGAGAGGAAGCCAGCCAGAATGAATGCATTCAGTGAGGGATGAATGAATGAATGAATGAATGAATGAATGAATGAGAGTTCTTAGGAGACACCTTTGAGTGTGTGTTTGTGAAAAATGTAATCTCCAAGATGCCTCTCCCTGGCCACACAGACCCAGCCCCTGGATGTCTGAACCCAGATAATTTCAGGGAAGTCTGTACTGGAGGTTCTAGAAACTTCACACTAGCACCTAGATGGACCCCTTCTCTCAAAATAGGAGGCACATCTATTGGGCCAGTTTCCAGGAGGGAATCTAGAGAGCGTGGGAAGTCTTCAGACCCTGTGAGCCCTCCCTGGGCTCGGGGCCCAGACTGGGTGGAGCAGCCACACCTGCCTGAAGTTTCGAGGAAGAGGGCGGAAACTGTAGCCGGCACCGCCCTCCCATAGGGTCTGTGGGCTCCTGCGGTCTGCCGTTCACAGTGGGTCCCGTGACTTTCTCACTTCCCTAAATGGGCAACTTCACTTTTAGAAGTCCAGATTGTCCTCTGGTAGACCCAAGGGGTCTAGACTGCATCGGCCTGGGGCCCTAACCTTGGATCTGAGGGGTGTCCTGGCCCCCTGCTGGCCTGTGACTGTCCCCAGCTGGATGGAGTCATGGCTCCCACCTTGTTACTGCTGCTCTTCCTCCTGTGGCTCCAGGGCTGCGTTTCAGGTGAGAAGGTGGGGGGGCTGGCTGGGGGCAGGTGGGGGACTATGGCCTTTTCCTGGATCCTCCCTACTGGCTCTTTCTTGCCCAATGATCTTGTTTAATATTTTGTGGAGTTGGAGGAGGGGGAAGAGGAGGTTGGGCTGGCTTAAGTAGCTCCTTACCAGAGACCAAAGAGAAGGTTCCATCCTAATACCTGGCCCCAGGCAAAGCTTCCCTGGATCTCACAAAACTCTGGACCATCTCTGCTTGGCTTCCTCATGACCTCTGGCCAAGAGCACTCAGGTTCCTCACACGAAAAGCCTCTTCCCTTGGCCTCTGCCAGGAAGGCCACATTTGGTTGTTACAGGAATCATTGCATCATGTGTGCGTGCTTTGAACTTGCTTTTTCTCAGAATGCTGATGCCACCACTCCCTGTCCTGAGTGGAAGCAATCCTTGAAGCCCTCTCCCACCCCACAGGCATGAATGTTCTTTAAAGGGGGAGGAGGTCACCCAATCCTGCCTCCCTCGCTGCCATGACAACCACATTACCACTTCCTGATCGGCTCTGGGCATGGTGGGGGTTGGAAAAACCTACTCTTCACCAGCTGTGAGAGGGTGGGTGGTGGACAGGAATGAACACAGTACCCCAGAGACCCTTTTCCAAGATCACCCCATCCATGCACCTCCCTGAGACATGCCTCTCTCTCTGCCAGGGCAGAAGACTGTCTCCTGTGCTGAGCCATTTTGGGGTCCCCCCAAAACTCCCACCCTCCAAATAACTGAGATGGATCATTCTAGTTTGTGTGGGACAAAGTGATGTTCAGAGAGGGTGTTACCTTACTCCAAGCCTAACTACAGTGGCAGCTGTGTTGGAAACTGAGGCAGGTGTCTTGGGTGCCAGGCCCTTGGTTAACAGCTCTGGGCTTTAGTACAGAAGTCTACAACTACTTGCATTTGGGGAAAGGAAGTACGCATTGAGCACCTGCTATATTCAAGGCACTGTACTGGGGTATAGTTCTCATAGCCAACTTGATCTGTTCATGTGCTAGAATCAGAGTTTTAACCCATATTTATTTAGAATCCAAAACGTGTGCTCTATTCTGTCTTACTGGGGAGTAACTTGTGTGTATTGCTTGTTTGCAGAAGGCTCTAGAGTGTTAAGGAGCAAGAGCTGAGCTTACGGCAGGCAGAGGGGTGGAGAGACCCCACCCCACCTCTCTCTCTCCCCTGTGCCCCGATTCAACCACCCCTGACCTAGTTCTACTCTCTCCCCAGCAGGCTGTGGATCATGAAGTGTACAGGCCACATCTTATTCCTAGGCATAGAGTACAATGTGTTGGAAATGAACAGTGGATAATTGTAGAATTCTTTGGCTTGCAGTCTGATGAAAGTTTCTGTGCACTTTGGGGCATATTCAATCTATGGGTTTTATGTAGCTAAGATATTTTTAAATTAAACACCACCTAGAATGAGCCACTGCAACAGCTATTTAAAAGATATCTATGGTGAACCTGTTTGTAAAATAAATAACTACTCTTAATGTTTTAAAATTAAGATTGGATCTTCTTCTCTACTTAAGCTGTTTGTGCTCTGGAATTTCATAACTTACTGACGCGTGTTTGCATTTGTGTGTCTGTCTTATTGAGGGCAAGCCCGGGGTCATGTCTTGAGGGCATGCCCACAGGGCTCTGCAGATAGGGCTTGTCATGTTCCCATCAGGCTAGAAAGTACCGTGAAGAAAGGGGCCTGCATCTCCCCTCTCAGACTGGAGCAGCTCCCTCCGAGTAGGGCTGTTTCTCTCTCAGACTGTGGATCCCATGTCTGCAGGGAACTATCCACCTCCTCTCCTTCACCACAAGCTTCAAGTTTCAAGATGTCACCTTCCTCCTCTCTCGCCAGAACTTGCTCAACATGGCATGTCTCCCCAGGTGTCCCTGCCGAGAATGTGTACTCCAAAGTGCAGCATTTTGAAGGGGAGACCCTGTCTGTGCAGTGCTCCTACAAGAGCCGCAAAAAACATGTGGAGGGCAAGGTCTGGTGCAAAATCAGGAAGAAGAAGTGTGAGCCTGGGTTTACCCGGCTCTGGGTGCAGGGGCCGCGCTACTTGCTGCAAGACGATACCCAGGCCAAGGTGATCAATGTCACCATGGTGGCCCTCAGGCGCCAGGACTCAGGCCGGTACTGGTGCATGCGCAACAGCTCTGGAACCCTCTACCCTCTGATGGGCTTCCAGCTGGAAGTGTCTCCAGGTGAGCAGGCCTGCTGGGGCACTGGGACGGTGGGGGGTGTCCTCCCTGCCCTGCACTCCACTAACATCGGATAAACTAAGAATAATGACCCATCAATGGGCGCGTTGTATGGTGGGGCTTTCACAGACAGCTTCACAAACATGATTGTCACCATTTTATAGATGAAGAAAATGAGATCTAAAACCACCTATGTGCCTCTGACCTTGTCCAAGATAACAGAGCTAGCAAGTGGCAAAGGTGAGATTTGAACTCAGGACTCTCTGCTTTGTTTTCTTCAGCTTTCTCTTTAATATATAGTCACTGAACCCTGATTATGTGCCAGCCACTTTCTAAGCCCCAAGAACACAGTGGTGAGCAAAAACAGACAGAATTCTTCCCTATGGGATATGACAGGCAATAGTACATCATCAGGCAATAATTGCAGATGACAATTAATGTTCTTAAGAAAATAAACCAGTGCGATAAACTAGAAAGTAGCTCAGTGATGGGGAGAGCTGCTGGAGTTCCAGGGTTCAGAGAAGACATCCTTGAGCAGGTGTCATCAAACAGAGCCCTAAATGATGGGAGCTTTCTAACTGTGTTGAAATGTGGGTGCTTCAAAGTTCCTTTTAAGTGGGGAGAAATGCATGTGCAAAGGCACAGTGGTGAGGAGGAGCTAGCGCTGTATAAGGCAGGCCTGCGTGGCGGTCCATATTGAGTGTGGGCAGAATGATAGATAAGGTTGGAGAGTCAAAGAGCAGCCCTAAAGTCCATGATAACGGAGTTTGAGTTTTATTCTAAGTATAATAGTTATTGCAGAGCTCAGCAGGGTGTGTTGTGGCTTATCTTTAAGACATTAATGGCTGCTGTGTAGAGGACCATGGACGGGTAAGAGAATAGGCAGAGGAGACATTGTGGGCATCCTGGCTGGAAATGACAGTGTCTTGGAATAGGACGTGGTCCCTGAAGTTGGAAAAAACTGGAGGGGCTAAAATTTATGATGGTCAGACTCCTGCCCTCCCTGTACATTTTTTGAAGTAAGACTGGATTTGCTTGTGTGGGAGGTGAGCAAAAGTGAAAAATCAAGGATAACTCCAAGGTGTGCCGTTTCATCGGCAAGGGGGACAGCGGTACCATGGAATGGGTAGGGGAGATCTGAAAGAGGGGATAGTTTGGGGGAGAAAAATGAAGAGCTCTATTTTGTCATGGTACCTTTAAAATACCTCCTAGAACATCACATGGAGAAAGGAAGCAGACAGTTGATCTATCAGCCTGAAGCTCAGGTGAGAGGCCAGAGCTGGGGGTATATTTGAAAGTCTCTCTACAAAGATAGTTTGAAGTCAAGGGTATTAGAGAAATCTATAGAGGCAGAAAGTAGATTAATGGATGCTTGGGGCTGAGGGGTAATGGCCAACGGGCGAGGAGTTTCTTTTTGAGATGATGAAACTATTCTCAAATTGACTGTGGCGATGGGGGCGTGACTCTGTGAGTTTGCTAAACATCATTGAACTTGACACTATAAATGGGTGTGTTATAAGAGATGTAAATTATATCTCTATAAAGTTCTTAAAAAGTCAAGGAGATATAATCTCTCTGCTGAGTGTAGAAAAAGAAGAAGGCGCCAAGGTCCTCCCACGTTTATAGATAGGAAAGGGTGAATGGCCAGCAAAAGAGCCTGAAAAAGGTAGCCAATGATTATGAAATTCATTGTCCATTCTTCTCTGTTTCCCTAACCCAACTGCGTCCCCACATCTAGGATGTGGTGCCCCATCTCGTTCCTCCACTTTTGTTCTAATTGAGACCCAGGGAAGTAGTTGAAACCAGTTTACTGAAGTTTTAACTGAAGTTGTAGGGATGCAAACATGAATTTGATATTTTACTATGTCAAATCTCACTCTATATCTCTTAATGACAATTGGGGGAGATTCCAAATTTGAAGACCTTTCCATTTTTTAGGAAATAAAAAATCTTCGGCCCAGTTGAAGACTATAATCTTCTAGCAATATACGAACTCTTTTTTATTCCCCCTTGAAGACCAGGTTTCATGGCCAAAGCACCTGAAATGGGGAAGGACAAGTAGCCCGCTGCCTAACTCCTTCTCCTTCATCTCTGGAGGTGCGGAAGGGGGATTCTTAGTCACCTTTTGCATGTCTACCCCTTTACCCCTAACTCCTGGGTATACTAGGGCAGGAAGGAAGGTTATGTGGCTTCACTGACCCTTGTTAGAGTTCTCTTTCTGTTGGACGTCAACTCCTTTTCTGCCCAGCCCTGTGAGGTCCTCCAGGAAGTGGGTGTCCAAGCTTCTCTCCCAAGGCACCTATTTGTGAACTCTTTGAAGAGTCCTTTGGTTCTGCCCACTGCTCATTATGATGATGATGTGGGAGATCTGGCTCCAGGTCACCCTCCTCTATGCCTACCCTCACCCGTGCTACTTGTTCTGGGTTTCCTTGCTCAGAAAAAAGGGCATCTTTTATGGTGACCCCCTGGCCCCATGGCATCCTTGCCATGCACAGTCGTGGGATGCAGCAGCCTTCCCTAACCCCCGCCGTCTTTATCCAGTTTTCTTGTTCCCTGCAGAGACAGACGCAACACTACCCCCTAGATTAGACCTCAGAATTACAACTCCCTTTTCCTCGACCTTCCAAACACCAGCCTTCTGGAAAATGGGATGGTAAAGGGCTGGGTTGATGGATGACGGTAGGATTGGAGTTTCTCAGAAAACCCTTAGGGAAGCTCTCTGACCCTGCTGCTTGTGTTCTTTGGAATCTAGGCCTTTGATGCTCCTTTGTCCTCATCTCTGGACCCTAGTTGTCAATTATGGAGCAACTGGAAAAGTCTCTGTCCAACATCATAGTAGATAAATCTCTTTGATTCACAGAAATAAGGAGGGTCTATAAGCAACAAAAGAGTTGGGGATAGGGAAGGGGTAGTCCTCTGGGCCCAGGAGGCCTGGCAGGTAAGGCTAAAGAAATTGTGAAGGTGTCTTCTGTCTTTGTTGTGCCTACTTCTTCTTCCTGACATCACCCTCTGAACACACACACACCTGGTCACCCAGCAGAGCAGAATCCTAGGTCCAAGGTCAGGAGGGGAGACAAGGACAGCATCCAGACAGCCAGGTGGGTTGCCAGGATCTGCTCCCAGCACCCAGGCCCTTAACTCACTCTAATGTTCCTCCCTCTCTGGTCCCTCAGTCCCTACAACCGCGAGAAACACTCCTCTTACACAGCTGTCCAACATCCTCAAGAGTGGAATTGTCGTCACAACGGGCCAAGCCCCCGCCTCAGGCCCGGATGCCCCTTTCACCACCAGTGTGAGGCTGTTCACACCTGGAGTCCTCACCTTGGCCAGGCTCTTGTCCTCCACTGCCTCAGGGACCATCAGGCTCAGCTCTGTGGCAGGATACAGCTTCACCAGCCCCTCCACCCTGGGGCCCAGAAGGACCAAGGGGCTCCCGACAGTGACTGCATCTCCTGGCAATTCCAGGGCCTCCTTGGCTGGCCCTGTATCCATTTCCACTAAGGCCCGTCACCTGCGCACCAGATCACCCACCACGAGAACATGCCACACCAGCAGATCTCTCCTCAACAAATTATCCCCCATCAGGTACCCATGGGTCTGGGGGCTGAATGACATTTTACCAAGCATGGCAACAATTCTGGGTGCCTGAAGAGAACTCAAGATGCAAATGTTGTAGCAGACCTTCCCCTCTCACCCACTCTTTCCCATGAGGGCAGGGAGGGGTCAGCTCAAGATTTTATGGATGGAGAGGAGAGGGTAGAGACAAGACAGGGAGGTAGGTGGCTTGGAGAGAGGGAAATGGGGGAATGCTTTAATTTGGGTTCCCCCAGAAGCAGACTCTGAGGTCAGGATTGATGTCATATTTGGAACACAGGGAAGAGCATGGGGAAGTGAGACAGGGAAGGGAAGGAAAGCAGCTGGTAAAGCGTGTAACCAGGGTACTGCCACTGTGGGGAGCAAGAGCCCTGTCCCAGTGGGGAACTCCGGGCTCCACTGTCAAGTAGCCACCCGAATGGCAAGGGAGCAGGGGTATTTATTTACCCACTGCTGTTGGTCATCAGTAGAGTTCTGCCAGCCATATGTGGCGAATGACCAAAGAAAGTCCTCAGGCACCCCCCCCCCCAAATATATATGAATGGAGGTTCTGATGTCATGTGCACATGGAAGTGATACAGGCAAGGGACCCACAGCATCTGTTACAGAGGATGAAGGTGCAAAGAGACATCCTCTGTCATTATGACAGAGTAAGGCCTTCATCCTTTCTGTCACAAATGGGGGTCTCTTATAGAGTCTTTGTCCTCAACAATAGCAGATTTGGGGGAATAGAGGAGGGGTGGTAAAGTGGAGATGCTCCCCTGCAGCTGGGGACTTCCTCCCCTGAATTCTGAGTGCCTCACTTCCTTCACCCAGAGCTGGGTTCCCATGGAAGAGAAACCATCGCTCCTCACAGGGGCCATCAGGGTTTCCCCTCTTCTGACTCATCTCGTGTGGTGTACGGAAAGGCCTGGGTCAGGGTGGGGGAAGCTGGTGCTCATCTTCCCGCTCTGTCCTGCCTCCTCAGGCACCAGGATTCCAACCCCGCTGTGCTTGTGGGGGTGCTGACCTTCCTCTTGGTGCCTGCGATGATGATCGTGGTCTATGGGTTCTGGAAGAAGAGACACATGGGAAGTGAGTAGAGCCCGTCCTCCCAGCCTCCTGAGGGCAGAACGCTGGGGGCTTGAGACACTTTCTATGGTGCCTGAGTGCGGACAGTCCCCAGGCAATGTGTCCTCACCTGTGTCCAGTCAGGAGGGCTGTGAGGCGCCCAGGGAGGGAGAAGGGTAGGGAGGCAGGGGCAACCTCGGGGCTGACCTGGCAGGAAGCGGACGCAGGGCCCGGAGACGAGCTGTGCTGGCCCAGGAGCACAGGGGACGGTGAGTAGGAGCCCACTGTTCTTCAGCTCTCTCCCTGGTCCTCACAGGCTACAGCATGTGCAGGGACCCTGCTCGACCCTGGAGGGACCCAGCTGGAAGACCGGAGCCTCCTTGGAAACCTGCTTGGTTTAAGGCCACTTATGGAGTGGGGGAGCTTCTCCCAGAGGGACCCCAGGAGTCTGTAATAGGAGTGAAGATGGGGGCCTGTCTGGATTGGAGCCAGGTTGGGGGGTGAGGACTTATGCAACGCTGGGCTCAGGCCTTCCCTAACCAGAGGCTGCACTTCACCTGCTCCGTGCCCCTGGGCTGCCAGGAACCTGGGGAGAGGCCCAGGGTGGAGAGCACCACCAGCAAGTCCTGGGAAAAGCCACTGAGGGAATTCTGCTTAGAGCCACAGCTGACCAGGGCCCAGCTGAGTGGTGCTGTTTACAGACAGAGCCTCAGCTTCCATCAGCTTGGAAGCCCTGCTATCAAGCTGCGGGGAGGGGTTGGGGTGGGGTGGACAGCCACCCTCTCACCACCCGGACCCTGTGTCTTCAGCTTCCCTCTGCTTCCCCCAAGAACTTGGGAGAGAATTTCAGAGGCAGCAGGTGTCCCAAAGGCCAGCCCTCGAAGAGAAGGAACAATGAATAAGAACTGGGGGTCCCCACAGGTATTAGCAGCAGGGGACCCCAGAGCTGTCCAAGCCCGCATCCCCTGAGCCGTGTGTCCTCTGGCAGACCTCCGATATGCCCTGCCCTGACTTTGGCTACTTGTCCCTTAACTCCTGGGAGCCCGCAGAGCTGCCCTCTCACTGCTGCCACCTGCTGGCCAGATCCTCCAGTGACAGCTGTGATGGGCAGCTGAGGGTCCCCCTCAGTGGCAGGACAAGCTTGCCCCCAGACTGGGGTGCAGAGGCTGAACTCAGGGCTCTCTCTTCCCGTTCCCACACCTGGACTGCAGGTCTGAGCTCTTGCAGGGGACTGAGGGTCCTCCAGGGTCCACTGAACGGGGGACCGCAGCTCAGAGAAAAGGGGGATTGGCATCCCCCAACCCCAGAGTGTCATTTTCCTCTGGGAACAGAGGAGCCACTGTTACACAGCAAAGACCACTCAGAGCAGACCACAGCCTGGAGGATTGCCTGGTAGGGGCAGGGTGGGGTGGGGCGAATGGAGCCAAGGAGCCTGGCCCAATGGCCTGAGACGCCTGCCCCGCCTCACAGGCTCCTGGCTCACGCTTTGCCTCTTCTGCAGGGAAGGCTGGAGAATGTGGGCTGCATTCGTCCCCTGAAGAGGGGGGTCCACCATCCTGGAGTGATTGGAGAAAGCACTGAGGGATAGATGCGGCACCTCTACTGTCTGCCCTGGGTCAGGGGCCTCCCAAGTGGGATAGCATGTGGCATAGGCAGGAGAGTGACACAACCAGAGTCTTAGTGGGGCCACTCCAAGATGGATGTGGGGAGAAAGGAGAGGGCAGGGGGTAATCCTAAGGGACCATGAGGAGGAGGCACCTCTTCCCTGTGTCCTGGAGGGGGCACTAGTGGGCAGACTTGGACTGAGAAACTACCTGGCCTCCTGCTGGTACACACACACACACACACACACACACACACACACACACTGACATCTGTCCTCCCTATCAGGGAGGTGTGGCCACCGCCTGGTACATAATTGGGAGCAGGTTTAACTCACCTGGGGAAAAATAGGTCCCCAAGAGCTCACCTCCATCCAGACCCCACAACAGCATGACAGCCCTGCTTCTTGCGAGAGCAGCGCGCCCCCCGGGAGAGCGCTGCGCAGGGCTCGAGCCCAGGCCCCAGGGCCCCAGGGCCCCCAGGGCGCCAACTGCTCCTGTGTGACCGCTGCAAGTCACTAACCCTGGCGGACCTCATTTTCCTCTCCTGTGAAAGAGGACACTAATTCCTACCTCAAGCCTTTTCAGAATAAAATGAAAGAACATGAACTGCAGACAACTGAGTCCCTCGTGACTGCTGGTCCTCAAATTCTTTTCAGGTTATAATATTGTGTCATAGTCTACATTTTTAAAGACCTTTGGAAACTATTTCTCTACTTTTGTCCTCGATTGTAAGGGGACAGGGAGGGTGGAGGGGAGCACGGTCCCCAGATGATGGGTGCTGGACCCAGGCAGAGGCCTGAGCTGTGCCCTAATGTCAGGCAGAATGGCTAACAAGGCAGTCTCTGTCCCTGCTTGCCCGGGATAAGGGGCTCCTGGGACTGTGTAGACCCACACGCACTGCCCGTCTGTGGAGCCTGCTCCGCGTGATCTCCATGGTAAGGAAGGACACTGAGCCCTGAGAGGAGGTACAGACCGCGTGCCCCAGCTCCCCAGCTGCTATGGGCCTGGTGGCCTCTTTAGACCTCTAGGCCTCTGGGACATTTTCCCCAAATCTCAGCATTTCACTTCCGTCTTTCTGTTCTCACTCTTGTCCCCAGATCTCCGGGGGGTGGGGGGGGCCTGGATCCTAACAGCAAGGGGGACGGCAGGTAAGGGTTTCAGACAGGTTGAGGTTGCGACTGCCTTTGGTGGGTGAGACAACCAAGTTTCCTGAGCAACAGGCTGAGACACCGGAGCTCACCTGTGAAGGCTGTCCTGTAGGGACCAAAGCAAAGAAAACCCAGCTCCCTGGGATGCTCAGGATGTGTGCATGGAGGAGCCGGCAGGTGGGCCTGACACATTCCAGGTGGACCTGACACATTTCACTGTGAGGCCAGCAAGGGACCCTGACCTTCACAGTTCTTCCAAATGGCTGCAAACTGTTGTTTTCACTTGGCATCAAACTGAGCTGGTGGATGGTCAGCTGGGCCACGACACTTGGGGCCAGCGTCACTGCTCCGCCCTCGCTGCTCCCAGCCCATCTCCTCCTTTCCAGGGAGCTATCCCAGAGCCACAGGGCTCTCGGGAACAGGCACACTCTGTCGTCACCACAGCCCATGGCCTGATTTCTTCACTTCTGCCTGATGGTTTCCAGGCCTCAAGCCCTGCGACTGGCCTGACAGCTGCTTTTCTTCCTGCCTCAGTCCTCCCACGCTCACTCCACACTCTGTCACTGTGAATCCTGGGCTCCTGCAAACCGCAGCTCCGTGTCCAAAGCACTGCACCAGAAACCAAGTGGTGCTGGTCAGCGGAGCTGAGTGGTTGGTGTCCCTGGAGCTGCTGCCTGGCCCCCAAGGCCCCGGGTACCCCAGGCACCTTCCCTAGGAGACTGCTATGTTGTAAGAAAGTCTACCTTGTTTCTCCCTTTGACTTAAGACCTACTAAAATGCTTTTGTTATGCACAGAGCTGTTTGTCAAATGACAGCAGTACTGTCCAAGCGCTAGCTGCATCTCACAGCGAAGGGCTCAGGGTGAGGAACTGGGATCAAGAATAGTTAATGGAAGGATACAGGAGAGGAGAGGTGAGCGCAGACCCCAAAACAGAGGCCCAGAAGGCCAGTTAGAGGACAGCAAACGGTCAGAGCAAAACTGGAGACATCGTTCCTGCTTTACAGAGCAAGCATGCCTGAGGTGGAGCTGCACCGTGAGACCGCGTGGTCTCCGGGGCAGAAACCTTGACCAGGGGCTGCCCCCTGGCCCGTGTGACAGCAGCCATGGGGGAGGGGTGGTTTCCCTGCAGGCGTGTGGCTTCGACTTTCCTTGCCTGGCTGGTCTCTTTTCCAAAGCTCCCCCCCCCCCCCCCGCCCGGCCACTGGAATATCATCTCCAGCATGACGGGGCCTCCTGCTGCTGCTGCTGGTGCTCACCCTCCTCCTGACCCTGTATCTCAGCAAAGGCCGAGGAAGAGGCAGGACCGGTAAACCCGCTGCTGGCTCCAAGCAGACCACCGAGTGCTCAGCCACGATAAGGGCCCATGAACCATGAGACGGACGTATTGTGCCCGTTTACCAAAAAGGAAACTGGGGCCTGAGAGGCCGGCGCTAATTTGCCTAAAACCAGGTATTCTAGTATCCATTTGGGATCATATATTTTGTCATCTTTTTATAGTTAAGGATTTCAAAACAAATTTATCTAAAACCTTTTCTGGTTCATGGTAATTTTTAGAAAAGCTTTTATTTATTTAATTTTAGAAAGAGGGAAAGGGAGGGAGAAAGAGAGTAAGGGAAACATCAGTGTGTTAGAGATACATCAATCAGTTGCCTCTTACACACCCCCAACTGGGGATCTAGCCTGCAAGCCAGGCATGTGCCCTGACTGGGAATTGAACCATCAACACTTTGGTTCGCTGGCCGGGGCTCAGTCCACTGAGCCATACCAGCCAGCTGGTTCATGGTATTGTTTTTTTAATTGTTGCTATTATATTTAAATAATGTCTTCCTAAAAGCACTTGAAGCACTTTTTAATCCTCCAAGTTTTAAGTGTTTAGCATCAATCACATGTAAATTCTACAGTATTTTGTGCAAGATAATCAGATTCATGTCTTTTGATGATTACCTCTTTTTTTGTTGATCAATTTGTTCAGCACCTAAGTGCCGTGTGTTTATTAACCACATACCCAGGGATGTGTCTCTTGACACAGTATTGGCACAGAGTGGGCCAGAGTTACATTGGACCTCATTGCTTTTAAATTGCCAAGATATAAAAATGCTAAAGTAGCAGTGGATTTATATACTTATTTTTCAAACTGTGTAAAGTCTGTTTAGTGGGTCAAAATAATATTCTTATAAAACAAAATAGAAAAGCTTTGCACATTGGAAGAGTAATTTTTCATTGAACTTTAATTCTAGGAGAAGTGTGTGTGGTAAAATATAATGCTTTTCATTGTGGTACTTGGTCAAAAAAAATTTAAAGGACACTATTGTATAGTATAACTTCGTCAGCAAATAGGTTATGCTTAAATGTGATCCTTAAGTTTGGAACTTGCAGTGACCTAACCTTGATTAAGTTTACTGGTTTGATGCAAATGAAATGCAGGCAGCAAGTTTAATTTGCCCCTTAGCACTAATGCTCGCTTTCTGGACATTAACCTGTGCTGGCCACCTGGGCTCTCCCCATCTACGTCAACACCCACCCCAGGTCAAAGACCACACCTGACCCATTTCTGGCTGTGGAATATTCCAGCATCGCTAAAAACAGACCCCAGCACTCTAAGTTGGCTGCTCTGGGGGAGAAGCCCAGGATCTGAAGGCAGAAATCATTTTGCAGTGAGCACCTGTGTGAGACACAGAGCTGCTCTCCCAGTGATGGGGTGACTTCTTGAGGCTGAGATGGTCCCCAACCAGCACGGGTCATTTTTTCCTG